TTTAGTTTTTGTTTGTCCTGGAAGGTTTTTATCTCTCCTTCTATTTTCAGTGACAGCCTAGCTGGATAGAGTATTCTTGGCTGCATATTTTTCTCATTTAGTGCTCTGAATATATCCTGCCAGTCCTTTCTGGCCTGCCAGGTCTCGGGTTAGGTCTGTTCCCAGTCTAATGTTTCTACCATTGTAGGTTACATATCTCTTGTCCCGAGCTGCTTTCAGGATTTTCTCTTTGTCTCTGAAACTCGTAAGTTTTACTATTAGATGTCAGGGTGTTGACCTATTTTTATTGATTTTGAGAGGGGTTCTCTGTGCTTCCTGGATTTTGATGCCTGTTTTCCTTCTCCAAATTAGGGAAGTTCTCTGCTATAATTTGCTCCAATATACCTTCTGCCCCTCTCTCTCCTCTTCTTCTGGGATCCCAATTATTCTAATATTGTTTCGTCTTATGGTATCACTTATCTCTCGAATTCTGCCCCATGATCCAGTAGTTGTTTATCTCTCTTTTTCTCAGCTTCTTTATTTTCCATCATTTGGTCTTCTATATCACTAATTCTCTCTTCTGCCTCATTTATCCTAGCAGTTAGAGCCTCCATTTTTGATTGCACCTCATTAATAGCCTTTTTAATTTTGACTTGGTTAGATTTTAGTTCTTTTACTTCTCCAGAAAGTGTTTCTCTAATGTCTTCCATGCTTTTTTCAAGCCCAGGTAGTATCTTTAAAATCATTATTCTGAACTCTAGTTCCGACATCTTACTAATGTCCATACTGAGTAGGTCCCTGGCAGTCGGTACTGCCTCTTGTTCTTTTCGTTGAGGTGATTTTTTCTGTCTCGTCATTTTGTCCAGAGGAGAACAGATGAATGAGAGAACAAAATGCTAACAAGGTAACAACGACCCCAGAAAAATATACACTAAACAAATCAGAAGAGACCTGAAACCAGGGGAAAAGAAAGGGAAAGAAAGAAAAAAGATAAAAGCAAACAAACAAAAAAAAACGAATATGGTCAAATACGCTCAGGCTGTGTATAGATCAGTGCCACACACTAGATTTTGGGCATATTTTGGTTTGTTAGAAGAAAGAGTCTCCCAAAATTTTAAAGAAAGGAAAACTTACATATGTACAAAAATAAGGGTAAATATGATGAAGGGATGGAATAGGACTGTAAAGATGGAAATTATAAAAGATTTTATAAAAGGAATTGATAAGAAGTTGGTCAAAAAAAGAGAGAAGAGGATTTAAAAAAAAAGAAAAGGGAGAGAATGTAATCCGGCAGGAGACTAGAACAAAGCCATACACTAGAGATTTAGGGTGTATTTTGGTGTGTTAGAAGAAACTGTATCCCAAAATTTTAAAGAGAGAACAACTTATATACATATACAAAAATAAGGTTAACTACTATGAAGGGATAGAATATGAGTCTAAAAATGAGAAATAAAAAAGATGTTTTAAAAAAGGGATTAATAAGATGTTGGTTGAAAAAGGGAAAAAGAAAAATTCAAAAAAAAAAAACAGTTTAAAAAAAAATTAAGTTTGAAAGACTAAAGAATCATGGTAAAAAAGCCATGAATTCTATGTGCAGTATTCCCCTACTGCTGGAGTTCTGCCATTCTCATTGATCGGTAAACTTGGTCTTGGCTGGCTGTTCTTGCTGATCTTCTCGGGGAGGTGCCGTCCTAGCGATTCTGAAATGTCTTTGCCTGAGGCAGAATTGCACTGTCCTTGCCAGTCCAGGCTAAGTAATCTGCTTGGGTTTGCTCTCGGGAGCTTTTGTTCCCTGCAAGCTTTCCGTACAGCTTTGGAGGACGAGAGTGAAAATGGCAGCCTCCCGATCTCCGCCCCAGAGAAGCCAAGAACTCGGGGCCCCACTCCTCAGTGCGCCCCCAGAGAAAAGCAGTCAATCACTCCTGTCTCCCTGGTCTCCGGCCGCACTCCATGCTCACCCAGCCTGTGACCAAGTGTTTCTATCTCTGGCACCCAACTCGGTGTGGAGTCTCCAAACCCAGCAGATCCCAGTGGTGTGCTCCTGTGCCGCTCCTCCCGGGGGACGAAGGGGCGTCTCCCTGGATCTGCCGCTTGTTGGGTCCCTGCTGGAGGAGCAGTGGCCCGACTGTGCCCCGGATCACGGTCTATGGCAACCCCGAGCTGAGAGCCCACTCCTCGGCTCCATCTCTGCAGCCGGCTTCCCTGCTCCGATACCTGGGAGCTCTGCCACACTCAGGCACCCCCAGTCTACCTGTGACCCCAAGGGTCCTGAGACCACACTGTCCCAGTGAGGGTTCCACCCCCCATTTAGCCACTGGAGCAATGTCCCTCAGCGGAGCCGACTTCTAAAAGTTCCGATTTTGTGCTCTGCTGCTCTATCACTTGCCATAAGCGGCTGATGGAGGCCCCCTCCCCCGCCATCTATCCTCCAGAATATCGCCTCGGATTCACTTCTCCGCACGTCCTACCTTCCAGAAAGTGGTCACTTTTCTGTTCAGAGAGTTGATGCACTCTCTTGTTGAGTTTGTAGGTGTTCAGAATGGTTTGATCCCTATCTAGCTGAATTCCTGGGACCAGACGAAATTTAGATCTCCTACTCCTCTGCCATCTTGCTCCTCCCCCAGGCCTCTTAGATTTTAAAGGCCTCTGTGTTGTGACACTGGGCCTCCCACCTACCATCCTCAGTGCAGCATACACAGTGCAGGGAGCCAGTGGCAATAGCAATGACTTTCTTCCCCTGCAGCCCTTGGACCTGCCGAGGTCTTCTAACATGATCATCGGATCCATGGCCCAGCCTGTGATAGTCACCTTTGCCCCTGCACAAAAGGAGATAGAGAAACATGAGTGCAAGGCCCTGTCATTTACCACCCTCCTGGCTTAAGCACCATACTTCAGGACACATATCACAGCCTGCTATAGAAGTTACATCTCAATCTATGAGATGTCAGTTAATATAACTTCACATTAGTAAACCGGTTTTGGTGATAGTCAACAAACAGAATCTTACATACCAAGTATAAACAGCATGAGATTTGGGAAGGGCGACAGAAAACTGGGATCCACATTCTACATACCAAGTATAAACAGCACCAGATTTGGTAAGGGCGACAGAAAACTGGGATCCACATTCTACTTTAACCACTCCAAGGCCTGTAAGAGAATCAATCTAAAAGGGAAAAAGGTTCAATTAGACTGAATCAAGGTTTTTGCTAACTGCTGCAACCACACAGAGACTGAACTAAATCTAATAAGGAACTCTGAAAATCCTTACTCAGGTCAAATATTTCATACAACTTAAAATCCAACTCCACTTAACCAGGTAAGTGTTCTCAGGAGGAGCAGGAATGCCTGGCTTTGAAGGCACACGTGGTGACACTCAGCCATGGGCCCATGCTACTGCACAATGAGACCCAGCATGTGTCACTAAAAATGGACATGTCACAGTTGAAGGTCTCAGAATCCACTCTCCCAATTCCATTTCTCTTTGTGGTGTTCTGGCCCCACTCGCCAGTAAGCCCTGTACTTCTCCTCTGCCCTCCAGCCCTCTCAGATCCCACAGGCCCACAGGAGAGAAACAGCAAGCAATGGGGAGGAGGATTGGCCAAGAGGACCAGGGCTCTGGCCTTTAGACATGACCTAGCCATCTATCCAGGTTAATTAAATTAAATACGACCTTGGTCAGGCCAGTATTGGAACTCACCTCCACCCCTGAACACTTGGGGGTCCAGGCCCTTCACAGCCAATTTCCAGAGGTCTCACTAGGGCTCACTAACCTAATCATCACCTTTTCTCACCCAGCAAGCTATGCTCCTATTATCCGTGACTGTTCTCAGACTTAAGTTCTCATATTTGATTTTAAATTTAAATTAATTAAAACAATCAATTCTCTCAGTTTTCTCCTCACCTTCACTTCTGTCATAATCACATCAGTAATGACCTCCATCCCCTCAATGTCCAACATCCTAATCCCTGAAGGTTCAAAGCCTGTGTCTAAGCTTTCCTAAGCATAATAAAGTCCAAAACAGACAGTTTTTTCATAAATCTGGAAACCCTAAGTAACCTGTAACATGGTTAAAATACCGTACACCTGCAAGAGAAAAGGAACAAGAGATGGTAAGACTGAGGAGGAAGCCCTGAGCTTCTGGTTTTCCAGCAGTGCCCACCAGGGCACAGGGGTGCCTCCAGGCACATCTCCACCAAGCTTTGGCTGCAGGCAGCACCAGCCAAAACCACTCTCTGCAGTGATGGAAATGTGCTGTGTCCACAATGCCCAAATGGAAGCCACCAGACACATGCAGCCACTAAGCACATGAAATGCAGCCAGTGTGAGTGGGGAAGTGAATTTTAACTTTATCTACTCTTAATTGAGTTAAACTTAAACTTAAATAGCCATGTGTGGCCAACAGCTATTGTACCGGGCAGCACAGCTCTGGGAAGAAAAGCTATGCAGTTCTAGCCTAGGCTCTTGTCCCATCTGAGGGGGCCTCTGGAAGAATGCTGCCGCCCAGGGCTGCCTGTGCCCCATGGGCGTCTCTATTCTGCACACACAGTCCCAGATTCCTAACAAGACTGGACACCAGGCAGAGGACAGTTTCTAGTTTTCGTTCACAGCACACACACTCTCAAATCCACAGCAAGGCACCTCAACTAAACGGCCGGGTTGGGTTTGTGCACACTGCAGGCAGCAGAGCACTCAGCACGTGGTCTGAACACATCGATGAGCTTAATCTCTGCCAACTGCCCATCCACAAGGGCAAGATAGTCTCACAAAGTTAAAAAGCTGCTCAGAATCATGCAGGTCACATGGAGAAAAGCAATCTGACCCCTAACCCAGGCCCATAGCCTCTTAGCTTGTCACAGGATGTCCATTTAAAACAGCCTCTGGCTAAGCCACATGCAACCCTTTCTTCAGTACTATGACATTCATAGCTATAAAACTCTATAAATTGAAAAGACTGTGAACAATTTGTTATCCTTTTCCTCAAACAGGTCTACATACTACATAAAACCACAGGTTTTGCTAAATTACATAAATTTCCCAAGACAGCACAAATAGCACTTAAAATATCTCAATACCGTTGGGCCTTTCCCTCACTTTTTACTCAATTACCCATTATATTTTCTGCAAAGAAGGTAAGATGAGGTAAAATACTCCTGAAAAGCACACAGAAGGGGAGGTGGCAGCAAGTCTCTGTGCTCCTGGGAGGGCCCAGGGGGCTCTAAGAGCTCCAGAAAGACCTGGAACGTTCCCATCCCAGGATCGTTGGGAAAGGTGTTTTTCTCCCACTGCGCAGACACAAATACCTTCATGGGTACTTTACAGCCATCACTGCCTCCTCGGCCAAGCTTGCCGTAGTCCCCGTCCCCCCAGGACCAGACAGTATCATCATCAGTGAGGCAGAGGGTCTGGGCATCTCCACTGCCACAGGCGACATCAACCACGCGGTGGCCCTGCAGCGCCTCCACCTTCAGAGAAAAGGAACCAAGGTTATCTGACTGCAGTAGAAAGGAAGTCTACCTAAGGAAAGGCTTTATTTTTTTTAATTTTTTAAAAAGATTTATTTATGGGCACCTGGGTGGCTCAGCCAGTTAAGCATCTGCCTTCGGCTCAGGTCATGATCCTTCAGCCCCACATCGGGCTCCCTTCTCAGCAGGGAGCCTACTTTACCCTCTCCCGTTGCCCCTGCTTGTGCGAGTGTGCTTGCTCTCTCTCTCTCTGTCAAATAAATAAATTTTTTTTTAAAAAAAGATTTATTTATTTATTTGAATGAGAGAGACAGAGAGAGAGGGCGCCCGCTCAAGAGTGGGGGGAGGGGCAGAGGGAGAGAGAGAATCTCAAGCAGACTCCCCACTAAGTGCGGAGCCTGAAGCGGGGCTCAATCTCCCGACCCTGAGATCATGAACTGAACAGAAATCAAGAGTCAGACACTTCACCGAATGAGCCACCCAGGCACCCCAGGAAAGGCTTTAGAGTACTATGATGCTCCCTGTGTGTGTGGCGGGGGGGGAGGGGACTGTTTTAAGCCTTTGCAAAGAACGTGAAATTTTAATAATCCTGTAAGATTTTTGTTTGAACCAAATAAATCTAAACTACAGGAGGCAGGAATCAGTGTCCCCAATGAGCCAGTCCTACCACACCAGGAAGTCTTATTTACTGCCTCACCCAAAATACAGTGGGCCTTCTAGAAGCCAAAGCATTTAGCTAGATACCAAGTAATATTAATATATAAATATATATATTATAAATTATAAATAAAAGGGTATTTCAAATACTATCCTGTTTAAATGACCCACTGAATACAAACCTACTTGTAAATAATGAGGCTAAGGCCATCAACTCTAAAACAAAAGAAACTGGAAAAGGAAATACTTTTGGCTTTTAAAAATCATAATGGCATAATGACAATGGCAAGCTGCCTCCCCTACCACCTTCAACAGTGAGGGTCTGAAGAGCCGCCCCAGGCCTCTGAGCCCCTTTTCAAGGTGCCTTCTCACCAGCTTTGGCTTTAACTGGTCCTCACTGTCGCTGTGTCCCAGGCGGCCATACCGGCCTTTGCCCCAAGTGTAGAGATCCCCTGCTGCGGTGACGCAGGCACTGTGGGCTCCACCAGCAGCAACGTCAACCACTTCAATTCCTCTCAGAGACTCAATGACTCGAGGGCGGTCACATGGACTGCAAAAAAGGTCACCAAAGATAACGGAAATAGTTTTATTCTTAAATATTTTAAAAGTATTAAATACTAGGCTTTTGGTTTGCTGTTCACTTGTTTAATGTACGCCTCTCAAATCAATTGTTAATTAAGAAGAATCATTCAGACCTGAACTCAAAATTTCACAATTTCCTAAATGTCTCCTTTTATAGCAGCTGCCCTAATGCCAGAGACCAGGGACTTTTCAGTCTAAATCAGAGGCCAGGAGACTAGTGCCCAAATGCGGGCCAATCTGGCCCATGGCCTGTTTTTGAAAGGCCAATTAGCCTAGAATGAATTTTGTATTTTTAAAGGGCTGTTAAAAAAAAAAAAAACTGAAAAGAAGCAATATACAACAAAGACTCTCTGTGGCTGGCCTAAAATATTTATTACTACCTGGCTCTTTACCAAAACAAGTTGCCCACTCTTGCTATAAATCAACATTTCATTTAAGGAGTTTTATCATTTGAATGTCAACTAACCTACAATGTGGCAAGCACTGATAGCAAACTTGTTTGTTTTCTTATTATTGAGTTTTGAAAGCTCTTTATAGTAACGTTGAATATAAGACCTTAGCCAGATGTCTGATTACAAATGCTTTCTCGGTCTGTAGCATGTCTTTTCAATCTAACTTTCGAAAACCTGAAGTTCACATTTTTATGAAGTCCAATTTATCCTATTTTTCTTCACTGGATCATGTTTTTGGAGTTCTATCTAAAAATCCTCGTCTTACCTAAGTCACAAAGGTTTTCTCTCTCATGTTTTCTTCTAGAAGTTTTTGGATTTAGGTTTTACATTTATAACTACCAATCATTTTGAGTTAATTCTGGATATGGTGCACAAAGTTCGCTGCTTGCTATATGGCAATCCAATTTTCAAGACCATTTGTTGAAAAGGCTCTGTTCTCCAATTAAATGCCTGTATTTTTGTAAACTGTGCATTGGAAGTTCTAAGGGAGAAATCAAGCTTCATTTTTTTCACAGTCATTATTCAGTATTTGTGATACATTTTTAGACTCTATTCTGTTCCCCTGATATATTTCTCTCTTTTTACAACAATACTATACTGTCTTGATTACTGTAGCTTTAAAGTGAGGCTTGAAGTATTGTCAGTCTTCCAACTTTGCTCCTTATTTTCAAAGTTGTTTTGATTATTCTAGGTACTCTGTATTTCCATATGAATTTTACAATCAGCTTGTCAATTTCTACAGACATTTTAATTGGGAAGGGGTAGAACTTATACGTTAATTGGACAAAAACTGACAAAACAAGATTGAGTCTTCTAATCCACAAACACAGAGTATACTCTCCTCCATGATTTTAGGTCTTTTAAAATTTCCCCCACCAATATTTTATAGTTTTCTGCCTATAAGTCGTCCAGGGTTTTTTTTTCCCCTTGGTCAAATTTCTCCCTTACTATTTCAATTCTGGGGGAGGGTAATATAAATGGTATTTTTTAAACTTCAAATTCTGATTACATTTCCATATGTATAAAGACACACAATTGCCTTTTATTTACTGATCTATCCTGCAACCCTGCTAATCTCATTTATTAATTCTAGTAGCTTTTTTGTAGATACCACAGATTTTCTATATAAACAATTATACTACATGTAAATAGCTTTATTCTCTTTCCAATCTGAATGCCTTTTATTTCTTTACACTGCTATACTGTACTTGCTAATCTTGAAGTATAATACTGAATCTTGACAGCAGATGTCCTTGTCTTGTTCCTGAAATTAGGGGAGGTTCAGTCTGTCACTAGTAAGTATTGTATTGGCTCTACGTGTAACAGAGATGCTCTTCATCAACTTACAGAAGTTCTCTTTTATTTCTAGATTGGTGAAAGTTGTTTGTCAGAAACAGATGTTGAAGTTTGTCAAATGCTTTTCCTTCCTTCATCTACGAGATGATCATATGGTTTTTCTTTTTTACTTGATTCATTTTCCAATGTTAAAAACCAATTCTGCAATTTCTGACATAAAACTCACTTGGTCATGGTGTATTATCCTTTTATATTGTCAGATTTGATTTTCTAAAATGTTAAGAATTTTTACATCTACTTTCATGAAGGATATTGGTCTGTATTTCCCTATTAATGTCTGAGTCTGGTTTTGGTATAAGACTAAAGCTATACACAAAAGAGAGTTGGGGAGAATTCCCTCCTCAATTTTCTAAAATAGTTTGTTAAGAATTGGTATTATCTATTACTTATACATGTGGCAGAAATCATATCACCTGTTTCTGGAGATTTCTTTGTGGGAAATTCAATTACTTAAATAGACACAAAGCTATCCTAGTCACCTATTTCTTCTTGAGTGAGCTTTCAAGAGTGTATGTCCTTTGAGGAATTTGTCCATTTCATCTAAAAAGTTGCATTTGTTGGCATAAAGATGTTCATTATATTTCATTTTTTAATAGCTGTACATCTGCAGTGATGAAACTCCCTCATTCCTGATATTGCTATAATTTGTATAATCTTTTTTTTCTTGATCAGTCTAGAGGGAGGTTTTATACTGACTTTCTCAAAAAACTTTTGTTTTCTTTTTCTCTCTTGTTCTATTTTCTCTTTCATGGATTCTCACTCTGATCTTCCTTATTTTCTTTATTCTGTTTATTCTGTGTTGCATTTGTCCTTCTTATTCTAGTGTCTTAAGGTAGAAACCAAAGTCATTAAAAACCATGTTTCTTTTATAATTAAAAAAAAAGGCATTTCACGCTATAAATCTCCTAGGTATTGCCTTTGCTGGATCACATAAATTTTTATATTCTGTTTACATTTTCACTCAGGTCAAAGTCATTTCTAATTTACTTCTGATTCCCTCTTTGACCAGTTATTTTAAAAGGTTTTATTTACTTTCCAGGTATTTGGAAGATTTCCCAGAGATTTTATTGTTATTGGTTTCTAATTAATTCCATTAGGGTCAGAGAATATACTTTATATGGCTTGAGTACTCTTGATGTATGTGATTTGTTTCTGGCCCAAATTATGGTCTATATTGGTAGTTGTTCCATATGTAGTTGAAAAGACAGTGCTTTTGCTGAATCGAGTGTTCTTACTATAAATGGCTACTTGATGAATCTGGTTGACCGAGTTAAGTCTTCTGACAGATTTTCTATCTACATGTTTTATCAGTTATTGAGGGAAGGGTATTAAAATCTCCAACTGTAACTGTGGATTTGTCTATTTCTCCCTGCAACTCTATCATTTTGTTTAATTTCATGTATTCAGAAGGTCTATCATTAGTTGTGTAAACATTTAGGATTATTATGTCCCCTTGATGACTGACCACTTCATCATTACTAATTGACCCTTTTTATCCCTCTCAATATTCTTTGCTGTGAAATCTACTTTGTATGATATTAATACAAGCATACCAACTTTGTTTTGATTAGTGTTAACATGGTATACATTTTTCCATCTTTTTACTTTTAATCTATTTGTCTAGTACTGACAATTAGTTTTAAAAATATGTTTGATCTTGCTTTTATATCCATTCTGACAACCTCTGACTTTAACTGGAATGCTTAAACCATTTCCCTCTGATGTTATTGTTAATATATTTTGGCTTATATCTACATCTTGCTATCTTTTTCCTATTTGTCCCATCTGTTTACTCTATTTTTTCTTCTTTAGAGTATGTTTTACAATTTCACTTTAACTTCTTTGCTGGTTTATCAAGTAAAGCTTTTTGTTGCATTATATTAATGTTTGGTTTAGGGTCTGTAGAATACCTCTCCATTACAGTTTAATCTGAAGTCATATACTACATCATGTATAGTATAAGAACATCACAATGGCATACTTCTATTTCCTACCCCCAAGCCTCTGTGTTGCTGCTGCCTTCCCTTATATTACTGCTACATATTTTACTTCTATGTATCTCAATTCGTTTTTATTATATCCTTGAAATATTCAATTATCTCTTGAAAATATTGATACAATAAGGAAAAAGTCATGATATTAATTAACCCATGTAGCAATTTCCTCATTCATTCATATAGAACCCTAATTCCATCTGATATAACTTTCCTTCTGTTTGAAGTAATTCCTTTAACATTTTTGTTGTGCAGGTCTGCAGGTGTTGAATTCTCTCAGCTTTTGTATGTCTGAATGACTCTACTTCAATTTTATTCTTGAAAAAATCTTTTCATAGAGTAAACAAATTCTAGGTTGACAATTATTTTTACTTTCAGTACCTCCACTTCTAGCTTGCATTGTTTTCTGTAAGGAATTTGTTGTCATCCTTTATCTTTTTTCCTGTATGTAACATATATTTTTCCCTCTAGCTGCTTTTATGATTTTTTTTTCTCTTTATCAACAGTATTGAGCAATTTGATTATGATATGCCTTGTTAAGTTTCCTTCATGTTCCTTTTGCTTGAAGTTCTTTGATCTTCTTGAATCTGTGAGTTTATAGTTTTCATCAAATTTGGACATTTTTCAGCCATTATGTCTCAAAATCCCCCCATCCTCCTCTGGTGACTCCAAATTATTCATATAATAGGCCACCTGAGGCTGTGTATCCACAATTCACTGGTGCTATGTTAATTTTATGTATGTGTGTTTCATTTCTGTGTTTCAGTTTCTATTGTTAGGTCATCAAGTTCATTGATCTTTTCTTCTGCAATGTTTAATCTGTATTAAACACTGTATATAGGGACGCCTGGGTGGCTCAGTCGGTTAAAGCGGCTGCCTTCCACTCAGGTCATGATCCCAGGGTCCTGGGATCGAGTCCCGCATTGGGCTCTCCGCTTGGCGGGGAGCCTGTTTCTCCCTCTGCCTGCCATTCCCCTGCTTGTATGTTCCCTCTCTCTCTCTATCTGACAAATAAATAAAATCTTTAAAAAAAAAAAAACCACTGTATATACATATACATTAATATACATTAATCTGTATTAAACAGATTATACATTAATCTGTATTAAACATGCACTGTACTTTCCATTTCAGACATATTTCTCATCATTAGGACTTCGATTAAACCATTTAAATATCTGGGCGCCTGGGTGGCTCAGTTGGTTAAGCGACTGCCTTCGGCTCAGGTCATGA